TGACCCTGGAGACCATGTTTACTTGGCCTGCGAGTTTTGTAATTTTTTAAATAAGTAGGCCTACTTTGAAACCGCACAGATTTGGTCTTAAATGCCCCGTTAAGATAGACAAGCTCCGCAGAGCCGTATTTAAATTTTTTAATCAGTGCTTTAAAAATAATGTAAAATAAATAGTCAACATTTGCTAAATATTTTATATGCATGTGTTTTTTTTTATATACATATACATACATGCATACATACACACACACACACACACACACACAGTTATATAGGCTACACGTACAATTATAGAAATATTTAGGAATGCAATTATAATTTGCGTGCTGGTATGCCGTTTTCACCATTATGCCGTTGTTGTTTTTTTAGAAAAGAGAAATAAGATTCGTTGTCTTATTATTATTATTATTATTATTATTAGGCTACATTAGGCTATTATTAGGCTATTTTCGAAAAAGGTTATAGAGAAATTCTTAGTTATTTTAAACCAATCAATTAGGTTGTCTATCGCTTATTAATACTTTCTCGTGTCGACACATGTTTAATTTACTTAGCATTTTTCGTACTTTCTTTTCCTAGTTAAGCATATCAACTGTTAATATTATTTGTGTTATTGCAATCGCATTTCAGTAACATAAATTGGGTCCGTCCTTCGTCAAACTGCAACATCGGGGGAAATCGAACTATTGGCAAGATCTGGGGGGACCCGTGACTGCCTCTAGCATGATGTCATACCTCAAACAGCCCCCCTACGCCATGAACGGCCTGGGGCTGAGCGGCGCAGCCATGGACCTGCTGCACCCGTCCGTCGGATACCCAGGTACACGTTTTACGTGCATTATAAACTGTTTAACACAGCGATATACGCGAGCATTATATGCGAGTATGAATCCCGTCTTTTTTTCCTTTCTTTAATTCCTAATTTTTTATTTTTATTTTTTTTTTTGTGATAAATTTATTAACTGTTTCAGGCACTTCAGTTAAGGGGAAAATTATATTCTTGACATTGTCCTTTTTTTTCAACATGTTTTTTAAAGAGAATCCACAAAACCTCTGTAAAGTAGCCCGCTACAATTTTTAAACCGCTTTGAGGTAAAATAAATAAATGAAAATAATAATAATAATAATAATAATAATTTCCGAAAATAGTACCTTAAAATGTCCTGAAGCTATTTTACATCTAAGCAGACATTTCCACTATTTCTATAACGCGTAATATTGCTATTGTGTGTACACTTATGGCCTTTTTTCTTCTTCTTATTATTTGCAGCAACACCCAGAAAGCAGCGGCGGGAAAGAACGACATTTACGCGCTCACAGCTTGACATTCTCGAAGCGCTCTTTGCCAAAACTCGATACCCGGACATTTTTATGAGAGAAGAGGTGGCGCTGAAGATCAACCTTCCCGAGTCCAGAGTTCAGGTACATGTAACCACTGAATGTTTGAGAGAAAAAAAAAATTTCTCTCTAAGAAACTATTTAATCTATGACAATTTTCCAAAAACGTTAGTTATGCTCAGCTGCTCCCCCTACTGATTTTCGTAAAAGTTCGTAGTAGTTTTTTAAAAACACACATAAGAGTCTATAATAATAATTGCAACAATTGTAAAAAAAAAAATTGTTGCTATTATTATTATAGACTCCTAGGTGTTTTTAACATTTTGTCACCCTAGTTATACAGCCATTACATAACTCGGGTTAATTGCCAGGTGATTTCTGCTCCTTTTTTTTTCTTTTTCTTTCTTTTTGATATGTTTAAATTATGCAGCATGACAGAATTTAATAATTATGCTAGAATAATTTGTACTCTCCAAAACAAAATAGTGTTTGGTGCATTTGTTTGTGCATATTGAACTGATTTTACTGAAGAAATGTGGCTATTTAGACCAAATGGTACTGATGATCACTGTGATTAAAAGGCTCACTCTACCTTGAAGTTGATGTAAATATCAGTGATGAGGAAATGTAAAATTCCCACAGTCTACTGTAGATTTTTCATGCAAATAATGCTTTTTCTGAAGTGATCTGAGGCCTAAAGGAGCAACCCTCTGTCAATTTCCCAAGCAATTTTATTTGCTCTTAATAAGCACATGAAACAAAACGCTTTACACGGTCAGACCCTCCTTCCACTATTGAATTACCATCTCTGCAGAGAAACTCAATAGGCTGCTATCACCCAGCCGTCTACAAGCACTGAAATTAGATCCACACAGTAAAACAGAAAGGCCCTGCATGCAAATTAAAGCCAGGAACTGGTAATAACTAGCTATTTTCCACTCTGATATTGCACAATGGCTCTCCAACATGTCCTTCAGACATGCACGGAAGGTCTCCATAATCATTTAATGGAGCTCTCTGTGCATGCGTGTTTGTGTATCGGATATAATGGACTGTGCTATCGTATTTTCATGCCTCTGTTTTTTTTAAGGAGTTGTTCAACCAGAATTTTAAAGCATATTTTAAGTGTTTGTTTCCTCTCTCTGTCCTGCAGGTGTGGTTTAAGAATCGGCGTGCTAAATGTCGTCAGCAGCAGCAGAGTGGCAGCAGCACTAAAGCTCGGCCCGCAAAGAAGAAATCCTCACCCACCCGGGAGAGCACGGGTTCAGAGAGCAGCGGCCAGTTCACCCCTCCTGCCGTCTCCAGCGCTGGCTCTTCCTCCTCTTCCTCAACCAATAACACAGGCATCAGTAGCACCTCTACCTCTATCAGTACTGTCTCATCAATCTGGAGCCCTGCCATTTCTCCAGGCTCCGCACCCCCATCTGTCTCCCTGCCAGAGCCCGTCGCTCCCTCAAATGCCTCCTGCATGCAGCGTTCCGTCTCAGGCACGGCCGGCTCCTCCTACCCCATGCCCTACAACCAGACCACCGGCTACAGCCAGGGCTACCCGACTCCTTCTGGTTCTTACTTCAGCGGAGTGGACTGTGGCTCCTATCTGGCCCCCATGCACACTCACCACCACCCTCATCAGCTCAGCCCCATGACGGCGTCGTCCATGCCCACGCACCCCCACCACCACATCAGTCAGTCCTCAGGACATCACCACCACCATCATCACCAGGCCTACAGTGGCACTGGCCTGGCCTTCAATTCTTCTGACTGCCTGGATTACAAGGAGCAAACGGCCTCCTCCTGGAAACTCAACTTAAACACTACAGACTGTTTGGACTACAAAGACCAAGCGTCCTGGAGGTTCCAAGTCTTGTGATCTGATTTTTTGTAATGCCCTCTGTTTTCACCATCTCTCTGTTTTAATAGTGTGCTGAGTTTAAGGGAAAAAAATATATGGACTTAAAGATTTGAACACAATATTTAGATGTTCATCACATTTTGAAAAGTGAGCCCCCCTTTTTTTAGAGAAAAGAAAGGGGGAAAACGGCAAAGTTGTGGAGGGAAATGAAAGCTAGTTTTCCTTTTTTTTTTTTTTTTTTTTTTTTTTTTTTCTTTTTTTTTCTTCCCTGAAGAGACTTAATTAGATTTACTTGACGACCCAGAGTTCTGGTTCTGAAGTGTTCTGCCGGACTCGCGTCACTCTCCTGCCTGATCTGGATTACCGTTTTTCTACACGGGACACTGAACGCTCAGCGACCGTTTTACCTCCACCTCTCAAACCCTGTACAGCTGTTTCGTTTTCTAAATATGGTTATTTTTTAGGATGACAGATTCTAGTCAGCTTAACGGAGCTGAGTTGTGTACATATGTATTTGGGTCAGTTACATTGACCATATTTAGTTGGTGTTACTGGATTTCAAATGGTTTAATAAGACTTTGAAACGACTTTATGTAAATCTTTTTCCCAAATAATCAAAAAATCAAGAATTGGCCCCTGGTGTTATTTGATATAACGAAAACCAATTTTTGTTACCCTGAAAAATAAAGATAAAAATAAATAAATAGGATTTTATATTGAGAACACCATGTGGAAAAAAAATAAAAATTTGAAGAAAAAAACAAGACTTAATTATACTTTGGACATTTTTAGAGCGGGGGATATTTGGTTGTGATATTGCAAGGTAACTAGCATTTGACGATTTGTTGCGGTGGAAGAGTACGGGCATGATTAAAATTGTTGGACGCATTTAACAGCACTTGACTTAATTGCTCTAACCGGAAAATAAATCATGTGGATAACGAAATGTGGTTTAAGGAAGAATTCCCAAATGCCAGTGAAATGCTGAATGTAGGCTACTGCAGGCGCAGATCATTACATTCATGTCCGTAATAAAGATCAGTTAACTACCAAAATATCACATGACTCCTGATTGGGGTATGTCCAATTTTAACATCCAAAATTTATTTTCGTGATGTTGCAAATGTTTTCAACTCTCAACAAACGAATAAATAAGTTAAAAATTCAATAAACGCACCTCCATTTTATTTATTTGGTGAGATGCTGGATAAAGTTTGGATTTAGAACGAATTTTACATGCCTAATACTTATTCTTTTTTTTAATTTTTTTTTTTTATTACCTGTGCACCATATCGACAGCCGAATGATTATCTGCACTAAACGTGAGGAAATTCATTGGTTTATTTTAATAGGACTGTGAGGATTTTAAAGTGTGTGTGTGTGTGTGTCAAATCGCATGCCACTGATTAAATTTTTCGTTATGTGGAAAGGATTAAGTTTTTGCTCCTCCTTAATAAACCGGTTATTTGCTATGGATATGGATGCTGTAAATGTGTGTGTGTGTGTGTGTGCAGGGGTGTAAAAACTGATTAAAACTTAAACCGTGGACTTGAACTAGGCTATGTTTGTGAGGTCTTTAGAAAACATACAATCGTTTGAAGGTCTTTTGTGCAAACTTGTTAAAGGCCACGGCACCGCAAAATTTCTTAAATATTTATTAACGCATTTGATCAGGTCGTAATTGAATGCGCTCGCGATAATTGCTTCCCAGCAGAATCTCCGCGCGCTCTGGAGCACAAGAGCGTTTCGCCAAAATAACCCGGAGCGATTTCGCCTCTTCTGATTCGGTAATGACGTGGGTGTGTCTGGGTTAATGGATCAAAAGCGGGAGGGAGGCAGCCGTCAGGCACCGGGCTATTAAAGAAATAGCTGGAGAAAAACAAGCGCTCGGCAAAGCTGTTTAGATGAACGTGTTCGAACAGAAAAAGTTTTCTTGTGGTCGATTAAGCAGCGGATAGAAAGAATGTACACAGGGAAATTGTACAAAATGTACACAACCCATTCGACTTTAATCAGCTTCAGTGTTTTTGTGTGCTAATTATTGATGTGTTGGCCTGGCAGCTGAATCAACACCTGGCTCAGGAGAACATTACGCGTATTTGTTTGACACTGCTCGCATTGAGACGCCACCGCAGCTCAGCGACACTACATGAACATGAATGGATTTGTACGATTTGCATCAAACAAACATTTGCGTCCTGTCTACCTGGGGAATAATTTGAGGAGCTCGGACACTCCCTCGCGTGGAGCACCTGCTTAAGCCCGAGGGGTGAGAAAGAGAAACCTTTAGGGCCTGTTCGTTCTAACACTTTCAACTAAAGCTGGCATAATTCTGGCGAGGTGAATCCATGTCCATTAACTCAGAGAGTTTGTCATTTATTTTACACTCTATTAGTAACAGCCAACAATGATTTTTGGACTCAATGCTACCGGAATAAATCATGCTCCGGTCTTCATTTGTTTCGTCCCTATAGCCCACACTTGTTGGCAAGGCGGAAGACGAGATGTCCGGCTACATATAATATTTCACGGGGTTTCTAAAACGTCACACCTTTAATAACAGCCTCTTACGTCATCATTTAAGCACTCATCAACTGCCAACGTTCATCCAATTTTATTCATATTTTGAAATAGATTTTCGAAATTTAAAGCCTGGCATGTGACGTTATTTTAAATTCAAGTCGAGTTGAATGGTAGGGATACAAGTAAGAGGAACATTCTTCTCATAATAATTTAGCTTAAACTTTTTAACTAATGAAAAATAAAAGAAAAAAAATAAATTGAATTAAAAAATTGTAAAAAGTTGGCTATATAGTAAACAACGATTAAGCGATAAAGTGATTAAACCGTCTCACTTAACCTGTATTGGTCCGATATTTCGCGTAGCCTAGGCTATTTTGTCCCAAATAAGCCGTTCTTTCATTTCAAATTTCCGTTCTGAGAACTATCTCAGCTGTTATATTGTCATTTACTCAACCAGAATATAGGCCTATTGTTTAATCAGTTTTCACCTGAAGGGCATCTGCCTTAGACAGAAGTTTGAGTTATAGGTTAATACTAGGCTACCACAACTCAAATACAATATAGGCTATACTGAGAACGCTTTACGTTAGTTTTAGAGTCTAAGTTTCAAATATTTTATTACCTATTATTATTATTATTATTATTATTATTTGAATAAAAACTGCTAATGATTCAAACTAAACGAATAAAATTATTTAAACGAAAAGAAAGAGAAACTATTAGAGCAAAAAGCTTGAGAAGCTAACTTCCCTCAGTCAAGTATTTTTTTTTCTTTCTTTTTTTTTTGAAGGTCTGTCCTCTAATTTATTCAGCAAGGATGTGTTAAATTGATAAAACGTGATGATAAAGACTTTTATTGTTAGAAAAGATTTCTATTGTAAATAAATGCTGTTCTTTTTTACTTTATTCATCAAAGAATCCTGAAAAAGTTTCACAGGTTCCAAAAAAAAAAAATATTAAGCAGCAACACCAGAATATAGGCCTATTGTTTAATCAGTTTTCACCTGAAGGGCATCTGCCTTAGACAGAAGTTTGAGTTATAGGTTAATACTAGGCTACCACAACTCAAATACAATATAGGTTATACTGAGAACGCTTTACGTTAGTTTTAGAGTCTAAGTTTCAAATATTTTATTACCTATTATTATTATTATTATTTGAATAAAAACTGTTAATGATTCAAACTAAACGAATAAAATTATTTAAACGAAAAGAAAGAGAAACTATTAGAGCAAAAAGCTTGAGAAGCTAACTTCCCTCAGTCAAGTATTTTTTTTTCTTTCTTTTTTTTTGAAGGTCTGTCCTCTAAACGTAGAATTTTCTCTCATTTCATGAGGCGGATAGGACGCTTCCATTACTGCTGTACGAGGCAATCCACTCTTGCCTTGCTGATATGCTCATATGTCCAAATGTCATCCGAGTGGGACTGCTCGTCCACAACTGGCACCATATTATTACATGTGAAAACTGTAAAAGAGATTACTGACCAAAACCATTAATGGGAAAACGGAAGTGTGATGAGCGAAGGGTTTGCTGAGATGGTGAGATGCTGACTCCAGGCCTCCGTGAGTTACAGAAACGCTGAGGGTGGGAAAACCACCAGAGGGATTTATTCCTACAGTATTGACGCTGAGGTCTTAGGAACAGGTGACAGACGGCATTATGGCTCTTGGTCAGGATGGACACTTGCTGAGCTCATATATAGCTTTATCTTTAACTCCGTAGCTGACCATACATTCACAGTTTAGGTAGGCTACAGACTGTAGCTCCTATTAAACTATAACCTTTTAAGTTATTTGGGTCAACGTATTAGCGATTTATTGAGTTTGTTGTATTAACGAAGTTAATCATTCTTAAAAAAAAGATTCATACAGTCACTTGAATACAGCTCTTCAATAAAATATATTTTTTATTTAAAAAAAAATTCAAACGATCTAATTAAATGCTGAAATAATTTCAAAAAGTGCTTGTTTTTAAATAAGCAGTGAAGAATTGTATAACAATCATTAATTATTGTTGTAGTTGTTTTAAATGAAAGGCGCGTTTTGCTCGGTACAGGAATAATAAGAAAAAAGTTTGATATATATTGCAGAAAAAATATGACCTATTTGAACAAAAAATGTCATTGAAAAAGTTTTGAAAACGTTATACGCTCCTGGTGCAAAGGAAATTCTTGGTTTCACAACTTTTTTTAGTTGACATTTTTAGTCAATTAAAAAAAAAAAAGGAAAATTGTGATATGGAATGATTTTCTTTATATGGAAGAAAGAAATATAAACACACAAAAAGTTTTCATGTGACAGAGACTGGAACAGATCTCAATTGTTGGCTGACAAAACAGTACAATCCAATCTGAGTGGTGACATAATTGATCTTAATAGCAGCAATTAAAATGGGAAGAGTTAATTAACTCTTAATTGAGCTGAGAACAGTTTGTCGAGTTCATTTTTCTCATATCAAGTGATCAGACTGTGACATCACCTCACTGTCTGAAAGATGGCGCTCAGATGAACCCTGAGGCCTGGCGTGGGCTAGTGAGTACTGAAAACCAGTTTGCTCTCTGCTTACACAGCCCGCCAGGAAATGAACACTATAACAATACCAGTGGATGACCGTTTGTATGTGCAGATTGGTGGAGTATAACCGCTGCTTGAATTAGATGTCAGATCGTTGATGAACTGTGAAGAACACCAGGCTCTTGATG